AATGTATGTAATGTATTATCTTCAATGTATGTAATGTATTGTGTTCAATGTATGTATTGTATTATGTTCGATATATGTATTGTATTATGTTCAATGTATGTAATGTATTATGTTCAATGTATGTATTGTATTATGTTCAATGTATGTAATGTATTATGTTCAATGTATGTAATGTATTATGTGCAACGTATGTAATGTATTGTGGTCATTGCACGTAATGTATTGTGTTCAATGTATGTAATGTATTATGTTCAATGTATGTAACAGGGTTGAATAGAATCAAAACAAATGGCTTGCTTTTCATGGTTCTAATAATTGCTTGCACTATAATCGGTAATCGACAAAATATAATGATAGTGATTAAGCAGCACTTTTGTTGACAACAGACTTCTACAGTCTATTCATTGATAGTAACTGAAATTATACCACCGATTGACATATCAGCCAATGGGAGAGTAACATTTAACATAAACATAAAATAAATATAATCTGAAATACTTCTATGCAACATGTATGGAACACCATGGAATGTTTGCTTATAATCACCCTAACCCTAAACGCAGCCTAATTTCCAATCAACAGACATATAATCTGTGCTATGAAACTTATATGAATGCTGAATTTCCTTTACTAGCTTTGACAAAATTCCACATTCTTTAACACCTACATGTATTTTATAATAATCGCTATGAACAGAACAAGAAAACAAAAAAGGGCTAAAGAGATTTTAAAAACATTTTAACACATGGCATGATGATCTAGTTAAAAATCATATACATATCCGTAGTTTGGTGATACCATTATGACAATTGCAATAACTACACAAGATTAAATACCTTGCAATTTCTTCAGTGACAGTTGTTCGTCTGAAAAGTTCTTTAAGAAATACAAGACTGGTCGTAATATTTGGAGATATTTGGTTGTTTGTGATAACCAAGTAATTGCTATGAAGTAATTCCAACATTAACAGACGAAGGTTTCTGTAACAAAAGTGAAACATATTTAGAAATCAAAATAGCTATTTAACAACTATCCATAATAGCTTTCAACAGGCAATGTGTTTAAGAGGGGGAATTACATTCATTTGCTATTATTTTGAAACAATCAGATTAAAATTGTATTGGTAGCACAATTTTGTTTGAAGCAGTTGACATGTCATGTGTACTGTAATAAATACAACAGCTATCATGGTATTCGCAAAATATTTGTGTCAGAATTGTCTTGCTTGAGCTGAATATCCCCAAGCAGTTCAATCTGTTTTCAGAATCTTAGAATATGATTATAAATGTGCACCATAAGTTTAGTCTGAGATGCATGGCGGACCCTGGAATTGTTTCCTGTATAGCATTATATCCCTCCCTTTATAGAACAACTATTTTACTTGTGTTACACATGTGTCTGAGACATTAATACTTATTTCGTGGGATAGTTGTGTTTAGCGTTCACCCAAAGCAGGATTTGAATAACAATGCAATACAGAATTTATTGTACATTGGTGAAGACAAATTACAGGTTAGTTGATAAATGGTTTGACACATCAGTTTTCGATCAGTATAACTTGTGAATGCCATTACGTTCAAATTCAATTTTGGGTCAAATTATTAAAAATTTAACAGCCTTCGACTGACTAACAATACAAATTTGACAGGTAAATGTATGTTACTCCAGATCTAATATGAGAAGCTGGCACAAATTTTCAACTATGTGTCAGTATATTATTCCGACTTAATATGGCAGTTGATTTACCACTACACATCAATGGCACACCCTGAATGAATTAAGTTAATCGTGGAAAGATAACATAAAATTTAGCACCATCATTTTTTCTGCCACAAATTTGGTGCTACAGTTTCCCTATTTTTATGTGTTTCTTTTTATAACATTTCAATAATTTCAGATTACATAGAAATAATAGAAAATGTTTAAAGAGTTATGTCTGTTTTATTCTGTTAAAGGTAACAAAAGTTGATTTTGGGGTCCAGACATGAAATATAGTTTATTATTGAAGTATCTGGTGCCAAATATACACAACGTACACAACTGGCATTGAATGCCTTCCAGATTATATATGTCAAATTCACATTTCTTTATTGACAAGGAATGACTTACTGTAAAATTACTAATTTCAAATTTCGCTAATTTACCATTTCAGACATATTCAGTAGGTTTTAAATTCACGGTTTTATCATTTAGATAACATGTTCTATGCTAAATTTTAAATATTCACTGGGTTTTAGTTTAACACATTTTCCAGTCAGCCAAATAAGCAAAATTAAAACCCACTGAATAATTAACCCCTTTACAGTATCTCGTAAATAGATTTATCACTCGTATATTAGGCTCTCATATTGGGTCTTTAATACTAAATGATGACAAGTAAGAAAATGTAAGGTATGTTACACTACCTTGCTGCATCACTTGCATTGGGTGTACATGACTCTTGTAAGGCAGTCTGTAATCAGAATATCATATTAGTGTTTACAATACAAAGTACTGTGAATTATATTTATCTAGCTGCAAACAGCAAATTGGGCTGAAATAAATTTATTTTCACCGACTTATTTTTTTGCTGATTTCCCCAAATAAATCCCAATCAAATGCTTCATGTATTCTACATCATTATACGTCTAGCACCAAAATGAATAGAAAATCTAAATTTGTTCCAAAATGTATATTTTACAAATCAGATTGTAGAAATGCTGTAGCGCATGGAAGAAATATAATCCTATCATGAACGTAAATGTTTACAGATCGCAAAGCGATTTTCATTTGCATGTTTGGCTATTACCATTTAAAACTAAATTTTAACTACAAACAAAAAAAGAAGATGTATAATATTGAAGTTGTCATGAGAGCACAGCAAAGTCTGCAGTCAGGCAGTATGGGATTGCATTGATCTCCACTATGCATTGTTCGACATCATCGCTGTACTACCTTTGTGCATACTTTTCGGTATTTTTTATACTATACACAATAATGTAAATGTCAAGCTGACATCAACACACAAACTGACCTCAACACACAAACTGACATCAACACACACACAAACTGACGTCAACACACACACAAACTGATATCAAAACACACATAAACTGACATCAAAACACACACAAACTGACATCAACACACAAACGGACATCAACACAATGTATTACCGGGTATTCTGCATACTTACAAGAAATGGATGGTTTGTACTGCATGCAATGCTTGCCCCAATGCTCCCAGTACTGGCACTACCTCTCTACGGGGAATAATAATGTACTAGACTGTTAGTAAATGCTGCAATATGCAAGAATTGCTTCACAGCGATGAGACAGAGGGGTTAATGACCTGATAAACCAGCATGTATGTAGAGATAAGGTAAACAATAATAGTGTAATAACTGCTTTCACTTGGTGGGAGACAATTCTTAGATATCGTGAGACATTGATAATCTGACAGCAGTGAAAATTAATGATTTGCTAGGGATTTCTCCTTTGTTAAATTCACAGCGTTATCTACAATAAAATATCACAGTATTGTAGCTAATTAACATAATAATATAATAATATTTTACTTTTAGTTTTGAATAGTGAGCCACTACTCTATAATGCTGTAGGAGTCTCAATTTTAAATGCTACAGAATAGTCTGAATATAACAAAACATAAATCTAGCTTAGTGAGCTTTCAAAACTGACATGAATACTGCAGAGTTACAAATGTATCTGCCTAAATATGGCTCATAATAGTATTAACTTAAGTACTGGTACAAAATATTTTGATGAATAAGTTTAAATTATTGATGACTATAATTGTAAGTTTTAATGGGAAGGCAAAACCAGCTTAAAGGTTAAATAGCTGGGTTGAAAGGGGCAATTTTAAACAAAATAGTCAAGTTGAAGAATGTTTTAACATAACATATGCAGCAGTGGATAAGTGTAAATTGCTTGTATATGGCATTAGTATTGAAATGAAAATAGTGATTGTGATGTGGCTTGTTAAATTTGTAAGTTCTTCGCAAACCACCTTAGATACCAGTATATAATATGTAATGAATATGATGAGTATGGTGTCCATGTTAAACATTTCAATGATCGTCAAGGACCATTTTTGATTATATAGTCACATTAGAGTGGAATAGATGTTAATTAGTATAAAACAATGTAGAATATAATGTACTAACCATCGGAAATCTCAGGAAATACTGGCAAACAATGTCTTTAATTCTTCGTTGTAAGTAAGGGTCTCGTTTACATTCCAACAAAGCCATTCCTTCTAAATACTACAAGAGAAATAAATGTTATTAAAGGTACATTTTTGCTATTTATGTTTGAAATACCTTCAAAGTGACTGTCAATAATAAGACCATAATTGGTGATCTTATCGATTGAACCTGAATTCCCTCTAGTGGTTGGGTTGGGAGATTTGGTTATAAGGGTCTTCATCCTCACACATGTCTTGTAATTTTCAATAACTAACAAATCAATAGTTAGTTATAATTAACCCAATATTTCAATAATCTAAAATTTATTCCTACTTGAGTTTAGTTCTTTTTCTCGTCGACATCAGAAATTATTCAGACCCCGATTACTTAGTTTTATTCACAAACAGACATACAACTACCAGTGTCTTAAATTCTTGACACAATTTGAACCACACCAACAATACTAAAATATTGACATATTATAATTTAGACCCAAAATATGAACAGCTAATAGTGTACTATGAGAAAAGAAATATTTAGGTTTTGGGTAACCGAAAACATAAACCTACCAGGTGCAAGTTGTCTTGGATAGCAGTAAGTTGACTTCCAGGCATAGTTTTGTTCGGATTAAACAAGACATGGGGTACAATCAGATGGTCCAGTATATTTGGTAACAGACACTGTGGTTTACTCTGCGAAAATATAATGAGATACTGTAACGTTATATACTATTATAATGAACCAGTTCATGTATTTGCCCTAAAATTGGTCAATACAAAGGCTTGTAGTGGACGAGCAGGAGTTTTCATGTGAAAACATGTATTAACACCTGTTTATTAGCATAGAGCAAACCATTGTAACTTTACCAAGTATGTTACTTTGTATATATGTATAGTTTCCAATACAATGTTTTATTACCTTCTGGTTTCTTTAGTTTAAAAAAATCCCAGAAATTTTATAATTGAACTGGTCATGTTTTACTTTTTTCCCATGAACTAACTCCATAATCGGCACAAAGTAATATCACTTTTATTGTATCTAAACAATTTTGTCTGTGACAATAATTTTTATTTCCACATATATCCTTGTATAGCATTAAGCAATCTATTCATGAGATATATGAAAAAAAATGCTTTCATGAAACTGTGTCAGTGAGAAATGGTGAGAATTTTCAATCCCACCAACAAATTGGCGAGAATTATATTCTTGGCCGAGAATTACATTAATGGCAATGGAGCAGTGAAAATTTGGATTATACACATACTAGCCAGATATCATACCCATAGAAACATGAGGAATCACTGGTGTGTGTGCATGTGTACATGAGGTGGTCAATGTTTACACCCTACCTGTACATAAATAATCTTTGCCGTAAACTTGACTATATTACCACATACAAGATATATCCAATTAATTACATCCTGTGGTCCAGTGGACTTCAATACTGGGTTGATAACTTTGATAATATCACCAAAATAGTGATTTGCAGTATCCCGGAAACTCACTTTCTCTTGAAATGTCTTGAATAAAAAAAAAATATGTGTGAGCGAAAAATTATCTTAAATTACTGAATCAAAGTTTTTCACTCTAAACACAAACTTTGTTCAAACAGCAACTAATAAATAATTAAATTATTAAAAATTAAAAAAATTAATCCTAAGAAGGCAAAATGAGGATTGTCAATGTAACTTCGTTGGATGAGTTAAATCATTGCAATTGTAAGTAGACAGTTTTATTTCCACATTAAAATATTAGTTTTTTAACATTACACAGGAGGTTCCTGGTATACATATAGAAGGTACAGTTGTAGCTTACCATAGCATTCGTAAATTTCTTTCCAACAGCTTTGATAAAATGAATCAGTACAGTCTTGGTACTGGCACCGACAGGTAAATAATCTTCCTACAATATTGTTAAAAACAATAGATTGCATTCAGGTAGGAGATTTAAAAAAAAAATTCATACAATTTTAATTCAGAATGCTGTTATAGATGACACATTGATTTTAATTACAGTCCGATTTGAGGTCTACCATTTAAAACAATGGGGTTGGCTGAAAGATTTGTTGAAAATAAAAAAAATTGCAAGCTAGACACCGAGAAAAAAAATT